CATCTGTTTTGTTTCCCATTGCATGTTTAATGCCCTCTTGGACATAGTAAATACTAAGTAAGTCTTTGACAAATGGAGGAATACTGTGTATATACTATTAATTTCTTTTCTCCTTGTAAATTCTTTAAAAGTTTCTATTTTTCTCCAATGCTCAATAATGATGATTATTGTAAATTACTGTTTTTGTTCTTTTCAGGCCAAATAGAAAAATGAGACTTCGTTTCAATCATTTTGCTACAGAGTGTAGTTGGGACTATTTATATGTTTATGATGGGGACTCAATTTATGCACCACTAATTGCTGCCTTTAGGTAAGCTCAGTCATATAAATAGTTGGTCATCATTATTTTATTTTTGAATTTAAACCTATATCCTGTATTACATTCTTACTGGATTCACAGTTAATATCACATAACACATTCACTTCATGGAATGAGTGGTTCTGCAGTCCACTTGCTTGTGTGCTAGTCCTGACTGGGCTCCTTTGCCTACTGGGTCAGTTTCTGGGCGTAGTGCTTGATCTCTTCCATTTTGCTGATCTGTAAAGTTTTGTGACAGTATTACCAAGTTTACCTTCTCTTCATGGTGGGGGTGAAGTTTACCTTTTCAGAAAAAAATGTTTGAGTAATATGTTAAATATAACATTTTTGTGAAAATTTAAATTGGAAACCATGCCCATCTTGTTCTTCTGTGTTATTACATAGAACTTCAGGAATTACTTGCTGAATTCACATATGGTTGGTGGGTGTGTGTGTCAGTCTGCATTTGCATTTACGTATATGTATGTATATGTATTTATGTATGTGTTATAATGGGTGAGGGAAACTTTGGAATGAAATAAATAAAATGAAAGTGGTTACCTGCTAAGAATGAGGAACAGACCAGTTATTTATTGCTTTTCTTTTTCTAACAAGCACATTCTACATTAGTAGTTAAATGAAACAATTTCACCAACTATATGGAATGTTCTGAATTGCTCTGCAGCACTATGATTTTGTTGGGTATTCCACAGGTCCATGTGTGGAGCACCTTGTGACACAGGCATCTGCTAGAGTCTGTGGGTAGGAGATGCAGAGGTGGTTGTGGTTGATGGAGCTGGAGAGTGGTTTTCCTCCCTGAGAACATTCTTCAAAAGAACACTGTTCCTTTTAGAGTTTTTTTTTAATTCATTTATTTATTTTTATGTATTTTTTATTTATATATGACAGCAGAATGCATTACAATTCTTATTACATATATAGAGCACAATTTTTCATATATCTGGTTGTATATATAGTATATTCACACCAATTTGTGTCTTCATACATGTATTTGGATAGTAATGATCATCACATTCCACCATCATTAATTACCCCATGCCCCCTTCCTTCCCCTCCAACCTTCCTTCCCCTCTGTCCTATCTAGAGTTTGTCTATTCTCCCCATG